AACTCGCTCCTGGCCCCCCAAATTCGTCTTAGCGTTGCCTTGCCGGCTGTTGCGGCCCCTGGGGCGGTCTTCTTGTTCCCGGAACCCAGTGTACGCAGTATCCTGTTCAATTCCCAAGCGTCCTTTTGGCATTGTTTTCTGTGTTTTTTTGTTTTTTTTTCTGTTAGATTGAGACATACTTGAGGGGATATCCAATGTAACAAAAAACGTTGATAGGCAAATCTAGTGAGAAATTCGTATGCTAAGAGATACAATAAAAAATGTTAACGTGGTTTTCCTCTACAGGTCATAAACTAAAGCTGAAGGCACACTTACTAAATTAGTTTCGTTTTTCACTGAGTGGAATATGTACTTTATATGCTAAAAAAGACATGCTTATTGTATAAAATATACACAGAGGACAGCCATTTAATACTTTGCTATATTTCCAACTGTCTTTATATGCATCCTGTTACATATACAATTTGTATTCTATCCTTAGCAGAAGTCATTCAATAAATTTTTGCCTTGTATGTGCCAGGTCCTGTGCTGGTTCTGGGGATACACTGGTGAGCAATAACAAACTATGCCTATTTTCAGGATCCTTATTTCATTCTGTTTGCACCTGCACCTGCACCTGCACACACGTGAACATAAGCAGGGACTGTTAATTGCTCACCGTTAGATTCCACAGTTCCTGGCACACAGTAGGCAATCAATAAATATTTGCTAAAATTTATTGGGACTGACAAACCATAATACTAGTCTTTTTTAAAAAAAACAAACAAACAATTTTACTGATTTTAGAGAGAGGGGAAGGGAGAGGGAAAGAGAGAGAGGAACATCAGTTGGTTGCCTCCCATACTCACCAAGACTGGGAATCGAACCCGAAACCTGGGTATGTGCCCTGGCTGGTAATCGAACCAGCAAGCTTTTGGTGTGTGGGATGACAACCAACTGAGCCACACCTGCCTGGGCCGTAATACTAGTCTTGTAACCCAAGACAGGTGCTGAGCGTGATTCTCTGTCAGTATTTAACAAATGACTGGTGGAAGGGAAAACTTTTGTGCCAGACTCTGCCAGTTTGGGACTTTTGCACTTGCTGTCCCCCAGTCAAGGAACATTGTCCTCCTGCCTCTTAGATAATCGGCTCCTTCATATCCTTCAAACTCAGTTGTGATGTTTGAGGGACCTTCATAGGGACTTTCTGTGACCACTCTGTCTCAGGGAGACTCTCTCTCAGTTCAAATCATCCCTAACTTGTAGTTACCCTTCCAAACCTATGTTTTCTGTTCTCTCCCCACTTGAATACAGAGATCTTGTGTGTCCTGTTACCCTTGTGGTTTCAAATGCTTAATTTTTTGCCTCAGTATCAATACTCTTGTATAAATATTAAGTGGCAGGAAGTTAAATATAATATTCAGCTGGGTCTTAAAAGCTCAGGAAAAAAATTCCTCCTGCCTCTAGGAGGAAAATTGTTATGTTTTCCATAAACAAATAGATAGCCAGGTACTTGTCCAGTAAAATTGGTTTATTTGGGAACAACAAAGAATCGCATTTCGGGACATGTGGTCTAAAGGTAAACCAAAAACAAGTCCAGAGAAAGAAAGGAGGGGAGCTGAAAGTTTGAGGTATAGTGACTTTTTATTGGCTCAGTTATGGAAGTCTCTCATTGGCTGAGTTAATAGGCAAGGAGGGTGTGTGTGTGAAAGTTTTCTAGCTTCCTGATTCATTTTAAATGAGGTTTCCATTTATTAATTCTCATATGCCCACCCCCCGTTTTAATGAAGACTTTTCTCCGAAATCATTGCTCATCAAGAGTCAGGTTTTTTGGATTCAGTGGCCTTTTGTCCCTTGATGTCAGGAAGGACCTTTCATGAGTGTCCTGTCGGAGGAAAATGTACAGATTGTAAACCTATTGTGATAACATTTGAGGGGTGGGTGGGAGG